AACAAGGTCTTGACTCGTTTCACCCCAGCAGCGGCCTTTACACGCTGCAAGTACCCATCCACAGGTGTCAACCACCCAAACAGCGGCGACCACCTCACCATGCTCGTGCCGCAGTTTCTCCAACCCGACCATACTCTACCACCATCGGCTCGGGCACCCAAACTTCCGCACACTTGCTGACATGGCCTCCAAGTAACTTCTACTCGGCCTGCCAGCCTCACTTCCTCCACCACCAGACTCCCCCGCTCCCACGTGCCTTGACTGCACCAAGAGCAAACTGCGTCAACAGCCCCACCCAGCCTCACCCTCTGTCGCAGCAGGACCACTGGACCCGGTACACCTGGACATCTGGGGCCCTGCCCCTGTTCCCGCACGAGGTGGTTATCGCTACTTCCTTGTTATCGTCGATGACCACTCTCGCTACGTCTCTGTTCACCTCCTCCACACTAAGGTTGCGGTTCCAGAGGTCCTCATGGCATGGGTTAAACAGGCACAGGCCGCCTTTGACCGCAAAGTCAAGCGCCTCCACTCAGATGGTGGTGGTGAGTTTTGCAACGACAAGCTCAAAGCCTTCTGCTCTTCAGAAGGCATCCAGCAAAACTTCACCCTCCCTGACAGCCCGCAGCAGAACGGCATAGCTGAGAGCCGCAACCACACCCTGGTGCAGATCACTCGGTGCCTCCTCAGCCACTCCAACGCTCCACACTCTCTCTGTGGGTACGCTCTCTACCACGCCGCCCTCCTCTACAACCTTTACCCCCACCCGCATCTTCCCGACACCACTCCAACCACACTCTGGCTCGGGAAAACGCCCACTGCTCGCTCTCTTCGCGTTTGGGGGTGCACCGCCTATGTCCTCCTCAACCCTGAGGCTCGACGGCAGCACGGCGGCAAGCTCGGTCCCAAGACCCAGACATGCATCTACCTCGGACACAACGCCGACTCGCCTGACTACCTCTTCCTCAATCCCTCCACTCAGCAGTTGGTCCGGAGCCGCGACATTGTCTTTGATGAGACCCGCCCATTCTACTCCACTTCGGGACGGGACCCTCTCCCTGACCCACCCTCCCTCGTGTGGGCAGACTTTGATGCGCCTCCTGATCTCTCGCCTGCTCCGGCCCCTTCACCCCCTACCCCTCCTGCCACCGCACCGTCCCCCTCTGCGGTCTCTGACCCGCCCTCACCGGTGTCTTCGGCAGCTGCTCCTCCATCCCCCTCACTTCCCACTCCGCCGACTGTGCAGCCACCTCCGAGCGCACCTATCACCTATCATCGGCGGTCCCACCCTCCGGCCCCACCTCCTCCCCCGGTTCCCCCCACCACAGAGGAACCCGCTCTCCCACAGTCGCCCGAGCTGATCACGTACCACCGGCGGCCCATTCCCCCGCCCAAGCCTCCTAAGTCAACCCCTCCGACACCACCTGCCCCACCCTCTTCTCCGGTGGCTCATGGCACTCGTTCGCATGGCGCGGCTCTTCCACTAGCGCTGGTTCTTCGATACACGGCGATCACACCGCCTCCTCCTGCCGGGGGGGATGTGCCCTCTACCCTTCTGGAAGACAGGCATGAAGAGCTGTGTGATCTTCATGCAGTCATTCCTCAGCTCTCGCACATCTTCCCCGACATCACTGACTCACCCTCCCTCAACTTCGCGGAGAACCCGACCATCCCTATCCCTCTCACCGTCCAAGAGGCTCTCTCAGGCCCTCATACTGCCGAATGGCGTGCTGCCATGGAAGCGGAGATTGCAGCATCCACCCGCAACCACTCCTTCGACGACGAGACACCACCTCCAGGAGTCAACATCGTCGGGGGCAAGTGGTTGTTCCGTGTAAAACAGCTCCCAGACGAGGCCCCGGTGTTCAAATCGCGTTACGTAGCCAAGGGCTTCACCCAGCAGCAGTACCGTGACTTCTTCCTAACCTTCTCCCCCACATCCAAACCTCCCACCATTCGTACGCTCATGGATGTCGCAGCTCGAGAAGACTTTGAGATCAAATCCATGGATGCTTCATCCGCCTTCCTACAAGGACGTCTCAAGGAGACGGTGTTCATGGACAGACCAGAAGGCTTCCCAGGAGAATTCCCTCCCAACACTGTCTGGAAGCTGAATCACCCCGTCTACGGCCTTAAGCAAGCCCCTCGCGAATGGCACAACAAGGTGAAAGAAGTCCTCCTCTCCCTGGACTTCCACCCTTCAACTGCTGACCCGACTCTCTTCATCCGCCGTCATTCTGAGCCATTCTACATCCTGGTCTACGTGGATGATTTCATCCTCGTTGCCAAGGACTCAGCCCAGATGACCTCTGTCCAGGCTGCCCTGAGCAAGGCCCTCCAGATGAAAGACCTCGGTGACCTCAAGCACTACCTGGGGATGGAGATCACTCGTGATCGCCAGGCTCGCACCATCTCACTCTCCCAGGAGTTCTACATCGACAATGTGCTCAAGCGGTTTGAGATGGAGCTGTGCACACCTGTTGCCACCCCGCTGCCGCTGCAACACCTCCTCACTGCTCCAGCTGTACCCACACCAGAGGCCTGCTCTGAGCCATACCCGGAGCTTGTTGGGTCCCTCATGTACGCCATGATGTGCACCCGAACGGACTTGACCTATCCTGTCAGTGTCCTCTCTCGCTACGTGGCCCCTGGACGCTTCACTGATCTTCACTGGAAGGCGGCGAAGCGGGTGCTGCGCTATCTTCAGGGCACCAAGTCTCACGTTCTCACACTCGGTGGGCTCTCCCCTCCTCGCCTGGAAGGTTACACCGACTCCTCCTGGGCTGATGACTAGACCGACCGACGCTCCTCTCAGGGGTACTGCTTCACCCTTGGGAGCGGAATTGTCAGTTGGCGCTCCACCAGGTCGTCTGCAGTCTCCCTCTCCTCCTGTGAGGCAGAGCTCTACGCAGGCACCATGGCTGCTCAGGAGGCCCGTTGGCTCACCTTCCTACTCCAGGAGCTTGGTTTCCCACAGTCCGCCCCCACCCTCTGGTGTGACAACCAGAGTACCATCCACATCTCTCAAGACCCTGTGTATCACACCCGCACCAAGCATATTGAACTTCGGCACTTCTTCATCCGTGACCTTGTCCAACAGGAGCAGCTGAAAGTGGAATACGTTGCATCTGACTGCAATCTGGCTGATCTGTTCACCAAGCCCCTTGGGAAAGTTCCCCACCACCGTCTCCTAGGCGCCATGGGGCTCTATGCACCGCCCTCTCTACCATGAGTTCGATTGACGCCTATGGGGGGGTGTTAGTGTTAGCCTTCAATCTCACACTTTGTACTTTGTATTTCTATATCCTAGAGTAGTGTAGTTTGCACATTGTGTTTGGTTGGGTGTACACCTACATCCCAACCAAACCCAAATGTAATCTCCAAGCAATCTCCAACCCACCAATTGGAGATTGCCTTGGGATTACCCCCAATCCCTAGGATTGCCCCCGATTCCCTTCCCCATCCATTCCCTCCCCTTCTTGGATGTATTTAAAGAGCTTCAAGCTCATTACTAATGCATCGCTTCTAAGCCTAAGTTCTAAGAGTGGTAACCTTGCCTTTTTGAGGCGATGGTGTGACAGGTTGTGGTGAGAAGAGGGGGGGAGGGGGAGGGGAGAGGCGGGGGGCTGTGGTAGATTGCGCTGTTGTACGTACTGACGAGGAGGATGAAGGGGTATGTGCAGATTGTATTGTAGAGGCGTTTGGGTATGGCACAGGCTGCACTGGAGCCTGGGGAGGGAGCAGAGCAGAGCACGTCGGAGTGGGAAGGGGAGGCACCTCTCTTTGATATGTGCGCTCTGGAGAGGTTGCTAAGCTGCAAGCATGAATCAAGGTGGGTGAGTTAGGATTGGTGTTTGGAGGTGGTTTGCAGGTGGAAAAAACATTTGAGCATGACAAGCAGTAGCCATGGGAGTGTGGGGTCATAGTAGTGGGTCACGAGGGAAGTAGTATGAGTACCTTTTTACATATTTGTGTTCAAGAGTTAGATGCGGTGGCACGCCGGGTTGAACGAGTGCGAATGGATCGAGGGGACTTGTTCTAACATTGTGTGTTGGAGAAATTCCTGAAGTGCCAAGGGTGATTGGAGGTGGTTTTCGGGTGATCTGGGCTGCATGAGTGTGGTATTTGCATGTGATAGAAACACTTGGGTGCCCACTGGACTGTGGTGAAGACGTGATGCTTCTGGGGCACAAGGGGAATAGAGTAAGTTTCAGACAAGTGTTTGCTGGAAAAGCAGCTGAAGCTGTAAGCGGGATGAAGAAAGGTGGAATTGAGATGACTTGTGAGTATGCACTATTTCTGATTCATGGGTATTGTATGGGCCATGTCATGGGTATGGTGTGAGATGGTATGGATTGTTTATGATGGATATGGTTTGGACATTGTATGGTTGTATGCGTGTATGGGCATGAGTCTAGACTGGGCATGAGTCTGGTGGCGGATATGGGCATGGGTCAGGCGAACATCATGACGTTTGTGCACACCACGGACAGCGCCACCGGATCAAATCTCTCAATGCGGAAGAGCAACTCGGAAGAGCAACTCGGAAGGCCAGAGCTCTCCTTATAGCCCTCGGATGCCCGCGTCTGCCTGTGGCCTGCCCATGCCTGAGCGGGTCATGAGGTATCATGAGGGCCATTTGGCGGATCGCTTGCACCTAAGCCCTTTTTTTATTGTGTACATGAGCACGTGAAATGGGTAATTAAGGGCCCAAAAACCACCCCATTGTAGCTGTCATGTGTCATCAAGCCCACCATCTGGGCGTCCCCTTGGGAGAAAGAAAAACGTTGCCCAAACGTTGCCCATTCCTCCCCTTCCCCCACCCACCCACACCCCCAGCTCGTCCAGCGGATCATGGTGGTAGGGCGCTATGGCGTGCGTCTCTTCCCGCCCACCCTCCTTGCTTTCCCATGCTCCTTTCTTCTCCCTCCCGCCTCCCCTGCCGCACCCATCCCCATCCCCCGCTTCCCGCCTACCCCTTTCCCCACCCACACCCGCAGCTCTTACAGCGCAACATGGGGAGGCAATACAACGTGCACCTCTTTGCGCCTTACCTCCTCCTGGGGCCCTCTGGGTTCCACGGCACTGCCACTCGTTTCCACTCCCTCATGTCCTTCTCCCGGGCAGGTTGTGAGTGGTGAGGGGGATGGTGAGAGCCCTGGATGGTGGGGAGAGGGGTGGATGGTGGGGAGAGGGGTGGATGGTGGGGAGAGTGGTGGATGGTGGGGAAAGGGGTGGATGGTGGGGAGAGTGGTGGATGGTGGGGAGAGGGGTGGATGGTGGGGAGAGGGGTGGATGGTGGGGAGAGTGGTGGATGGTGGGGAGAGGGGTGGATGGTGGGGAGAGGGGTGGATGGTGGGGAGAGGGGTGGGTGGTGGGGAGAGGGGTGGATGGTGGGGAGAGGGGTGGATGGTGGGGAGAGTGGTGGATGGTGGGGAAAGGGGTGGATGGTGGGGAGAGTGGTGGATGGTGGGGAAAGGGGTGGATGGTGGGGAGAGTGGTGGATGGTGGGGAAAGGGGTGGATGGTGGGGAGAGGGGTGGATGGTGGGGAGAGTGGTGGATGGTGGGGAGACGGGTGGATGGTGGGGAGTGTGGTGGATAGTGGGGAGACGGGTGGATGGTGGGGAGTGTGGTGGATGGTGGGGAGACGGGTGGATGGTGGGGAGGGGATGGGGAGGGGAGTGGATGGTGGATTGCCAAGGCGATGGGGTTGTGCTTGTTGGTCTCTCCCCTCCCATTTTCCAACTCCTCCCTGCGCACTCACTTCCTCCTTACTTTCCACCCGTACTTTCCAGCAATTGCTGCTCTTCCACTATGAGCGAAGATCCTCCCTGCGCACTCACTTCCTCCTTACTTTCCACCCCACACCCTCACTTCACCCTGCCCCCCTCCCTCCCTACACCAGGTGTTGTTCGACACGAGTGCAGGCAAGGTGGCGGGGGACGTTGATGGCGTCATTCATTCTGGCGTGTGAGGCGCAGGGAGCTCATGGGGGTGCTGATCGATACCTCGCCACTTGGCAGATGGTAATTGGCGATTTGCTCCTCGCTGTTGTGAAAGGCGTGGATAACGAAGGCTGATAAGAGGAAGAACACACTGCTGGAGTAACCACCAAGGGCCAGAAGGGAGGCGTGAGGAGAGCGGTGATCTTGGCTCTGTGTGCCTGTCGAATAGCGCATGCAGAGAGGGAGGAAGGGGTGACAACAGGCAAGGGTGGGCAAATAGCTGTGGGGATGAGTGGTGGGGGACGGGATAGACGGGAGCAGGGCCAGCAAAGATATTGGCAGAGGCACGATGGGTATGGTATGATACACTGGAAGAGTCAGAATGAAGAATAGGGTGCGTGGGGAAAAAGGGGGGATAGAGCGAAAGCAACGAACATTTACAGATATGGAAGGGCGGAGAGAGCTGTAGTGCACACCACAGTGCCCCGCAATGATGCGCGGAAGAGGAGAGGAGGGTGAGGGGGGTTAAGGGGAAAATGCAGAGGAGGGAGGGAGGAAAAAGCATGGCAAGAAAGGTAAGCAAGCAAGGAGTGCTTTAACACATAGCGCCCCACCATGATGCGCTGAAGAGGTGGAAACTGTGGGGTTTCCGGTGGAGTATTGGGGTGGGGAAGGAGAAAGACACAATGAGGAAGAGAAAAGGAGGCAGGGCGGGGAGAGGTGCACGCTGTAGCGCCCTTCCATGCTGCGGAGGACGAGTGAGGAGGGCGGGGAGCGGGATTGGGAGCGGGGGGAGAAAAGGGAGGAGCATGAAAGTGCAAGAGTGTGGATCTCCTGGCGTCTGGCTCCTGGTTTGTAACTTAAAGCCAAGTGCAAGAAAGGGAGTTGGGCGCATGTGGGAACAGGGCCAAAGCTGTTTCACACAAACGATCACAGTGAGACAATGGTGCGATGGGGTAAAGGGATGATGGGGTCATGGGGTGATGGGACTGACCTGAGACTCACTGACTGAGACTGACGTGAGACTCGCTGACTGAGACTGACGTGAGACTCGCTGACTGAGACTGACGTGAGACTCGCTGACTGAGACTGACGTGAGACTCGCTGACTGAGACTGACGTGAGACTAACGTGAGACTGATCCGAGAGCACCCAACAACAGTCACCCAGCACAGACCTTTATATCTCACCTCCTTCTCCCTCTGCTTGTCTTCCAGGAAGGACACGCCCACACGGCACCCAGCAGCCCAGCCCAGCCTCGCCTCACCCGGTGCCCACTAGTGACTCACAAGTACCTACCAAGCAGCCCACTACCCTCAATTCAAAATACCCTCAAAACACCCACCTCCTTCTCCCTCCATCTCCCTCTGATCGTCCATGCAAAAGCGACGCCATGGGTCACCCAGGAGCCCACCTACCTTCGCCTGCTTCTGACCACGTGAACCATGACCATAACTTGCCGACATACTTCCCATCCCGCACCTCTTTCTCCCAATGTCCGCCTTTCAAGAGAGAGACGGCCACGGGACACCCAGCAGCCCTGCCCAGCTTCGCCTGCGGCCTCTCGTGCGCCTCTGCCATGCCAGCAGCCTCGACGGTGCTGCTGTGGGGTTGAAGAGTGCTCCCGCGATGTAGCGATGGGAGTCCGTGGAGCAGCAGTAGGTGTAAGAGCAGGTGGCAAGCTGAGAGAGGGGGGAGGGGGAAGCAGCCTCCCGGAAAACATGGGAGCAGCGTTGCCGCAGCTGCTGCAGCTGGAGCTTCTTTCATGGTTACCGGAGGAGCTGCCTGGAGTTTCACTGGAGCTGCGGTCGCTGACGTCACTTGCTATTGAAGCGCCTCAGCTGGTGGCGCTACCTCAGGGCATGAGCTGCTTGTCTCGGCTGCGCAAACTGGAGCTGATTCACTGCACCGCCTTGCAGCACCTCCTGGAGTTTCTCACCCAGCTGCACCATCTGACACTGCGTGATACTTCCATACGCTACCATCATGTGAATCTGGTACAGCTAGTTCAACAGCCTGGAGTGTAAGGGTAGTTGCCTGCAGCTGGAGACTCCCTCATAGGACTTGACTGGGGTGAAGGTGCTGCAGTCACTCATGGCCTTCTTGCAATGTCTCGCCGCTGGTTGATTCAAAGCCGGGCCTGCACCAGTGTAGCTGGTGCCAGGGTAGATGATGGAAATGCGTAGACTAGGCAGTTTTGAAAAATGTGGGATGCTCACAATTTCTTCTCATGTACCATCTTTTAGAGAAAGGGATGCACAGAGATGTGAGCTGACAAATGCATTCACTCTGAACTATTCATTCTGATATATGCATTTAGACATATTCACTCTCTTATTGACTCTGAGTGCACTAATCATTCTGAAATATGATTGGCCTGGATGGCTGGACAAGTGGAGATGGAGTGAAGCGGGTGGCAGGGGAGGTGATGAATGAATGGTTAAATGGATGGGGGATTGTATAGGAATTTGTAGTGTCCTCTCTGATCCTGCTTCCCTTGCACCAACGTTCAAACACTCTCGTTGTGACATCTGAAAATTGAGATACCTGTATGCATCAGCAGAGATACTCTTTCTGAGGTATGTGTCTTCAGATACCGTATGAATGTGAGAGATGCACCCTGAGAGAATGAGCTTGATCTATGCAGAACATTATGCATTCTGAGATGCCACCGCTCTCCTCCCAAATTCCCCGTTCCTGTTTTTCCCTCCTCGCAACTCTCCTATCCCCAACCCCTGCCTCCCCTCCATTCCTCTCATACCGTACCCCCCACCCCACTCCTCTCATCCCCCCCACACCTCTCTCATACCCCCCTCCTCTCGTACCCCCCGCTCATCTCTGTACCCCCACCACCCCCATACCCTTCATTCCTCCCTTACCCCCATTCCTCTCATACCTCCCATTCCTCTCACACCCTTCACTCCATTCCTCTCACACCCCTCCACTCCTCTCTTACTCCCCACTCCTTTCATCTCCCCCACTCTCATGCGCACCACTCCCCCCGCACCCCCCTGTGGTGGGTGAAGGCAGATTGATCATTGCAACCAAGCAGAGCTCTGCTCGGCTCTCTTCTCCTCCTTGAATGCCAGCGCTCAACATTTGAAGGTCGGTCAATCAGACCCGAGGGCTTCAACGCAATTTTCATCCAACTCATGATGCGATGAGAGATTCAGAATGCACATGATCATGGTGAGGGATCTCGTATGCAATTCATCATGATTAGAAACATTCAGCATGCTACTCATCATGCCATGAGACATGCAGCATAGTATTATCATTCTACCAATGTGACATTCACCCTCCAAGTTAGCCTGCCATTGCACATTGCAAATCATGATTCTATGAGGCATTCTGTAGGCATGTCTATGTGACATCCACCAAGCAAGATATCATGCATTGCACATCACATTCACCATCCAAGTCGTCATGCTATAATACATTCAGAATGCTTTTATCATGTCATGAGCCATCCTAATGCAATACAACATGTGCCTAGCCATTTGACATGCTACTTAACATGCTGGAAGAGATTCAGTGTGCGATTCATCATTCTTTGAAATATTCAGCACCAAATCACAAAGCCATGAGACATTCAGCATGGCAGTGATCATGCTATGGCACTTCAAGAGATGTCCGGTATTCATTCCATCATGCCACTTTCATCATGAATGCGAATTATCATGCCATGAAAAATCATCATGGTCAGAAACATCCAGAATGCTAATCAAAATGTCATGACGCATACTCTTCATCATATGTGGCTTCAGCATGCACATCATCATGGCATGGCACACTCAGCTCGAAAATCATCAAGTCATGAGGCATATAGAGTGCTATTGATCATGCCATGAAAAGTACCACTTCTCTCATACCTCACACTCCCCTCACTCCCTTCGCACATACCCCCGATACCTATCATACCCACAATTCCTATCATATCCATTAGGCCTCTCATACCCCCCAGGCCTCTCATACCTCACTACTCTCATACCCCCTCATTACTCTCACACCCCAACTCCTCTCATACCCCACTCCGCTCATTCCCATACTCCTCCCATGCCCCCCTGTGTTGGGTGAAGGTACAACCATTGTCGCTACCAAAGTGCTTCTCGTCTCTTGTTCCCCTCCCCGACTGCCCAGCGCTCAACTTAGTAAGGTTACTCTTTAAACAAAGAGCTTCAGCAAGTTTGTCGTGCAATTCATGGTATTATGCAAGTCATCATTCACTATCGCCATTGCACATTCAGCACTCAAATTATTATAGTATGAGGCATAAATCATGCAATACAACATGCTTTTAGCCATGCAAATTCCAATATGCCAATAATTTCTCATTGCAAATCAGTCTTAAAGCCACGAGACATTCAGCATACAGCTGATCAGGCTTATACACATTCAAAGTGAAAACTATCATGCCATAAGACATTTAGCCTTCATGTTGTCATGGCAATTTGGTCATGCGCTAGAAAATTCACCTCAGCATTCAAATAATCAGGCCTGAACACGTTCTCAATGTGAATCATCATGCAATGAGACGTTTATCATACAGGTCATCATCATACGTGGTATTCCGCATGCTAATCATAACACCATTATCATAGTAATTATCATGGCTTGAGACATACAGCACGAAAAGTAGAACGTCATGAAACATTCACAATGCAATTCATCATTCCACGAGAAAGCATCAAACAGTATGTCATGCCTTGAGTCATGCAGCAAGAAAATCATGGTACTACGAGAGCCTTAAGAAAAGAAAAGAACAGAAAAACAAATATTTCATCATCACATGAGACCGTGAATGAAGACATCCAGCATGCAATACCTCGCGCACCAGGACATAGGGAAAGCAAATTGCTATGCTTTAAAATAGCCAGTACGCTGATCATTAAGCCATGAGACATTCAGCATGCTAAAACAGATTCATAATGCCAGTCATCATGTGGTAGGGCGTTCAGCCTTCATACCATCATGCTATGGGACTTTCAGCACGAAAGTTATCATTATGTAGGATTCAGCATCCAGCTCATACGAAACGTAATTCATCATGCGCGAGGAATGCATCATGCCACAAGACATTTATCATGCAAATATGAGAGCATGCAATGTATCTTGCCTGGAGACATCATTAATAAGAATCATCATGGCATGACGAATTCATTCGTCATGCAATATGTGGTGCCTTAAGATGTTTGCCCTGCCATTTATGACGTCATGGGAGACTCAGCATGCAAAAAATCATACTTCAAAACATTCAGGATTCTAATTCTCATACCATGAGAAATTTAGCATACAAGTCCCAAACCCTATGTGAAATTCACCATGCAGATCAGCAATTCATCAAATATTCAGCACATAAATCATCATGTCAGAAGCACTCTTTCAGCAATACAACTATCCTTGAGGCAGTTGGTATGCAGATCATGATGCATTGAGAAATGTAGCATGCTATTCATCATGGATTGAGTCATTTAGAGGGGATTCGTAATGCAATGATTTGCAATGCCATGAGTCTAATTATTCGGAGCCAGCAAGCTAAAGCGACAAGCTATGAGATAACAATAACACAGACCATCATGCCTAAGAATTGGCATGCATTCAATATTGCCGTAACACAATGAAAATGCAAATCATAATGCTGCTAGACACTCAAACTTTGACTTATCATGCGATGAGACGACCAGTCTGAATCATGCCTGGCTGAATCATGCCTGGCTTAATCATGCCTGGCTGAATCATGCCTGGCTGAATCATGCCTTGCTGAATCATGCATGCCTGAATCATGCCTGGCAGAATCATGCCTGCTTGAATCATGCCTGCTTGAATCATGCCTGGCTGAATCGTGCCTGGCTGAATCATGCCTGGCTGAATCATGCCTGGCTGAATCATGCCTGACTGAATCATGCCTTGCTGAGTCATGCATGCCTGAATCATGCCTGGCTAAATCGTGCCTGCCTGAATCATGTCTGGCTGAATCATGCCTGGATGAAACATGCCTAGTTGAATCATGCCTTGCTAAATCATGCCTGCCTGAATCATGACTCGCTGAATCTACCCTGGCTGAATCATGCCTGGCTGAATCATGCCTGCCCGCCTGAATCATCCCTGCCTGAATCAGGCCTGGCTGATTCATGCCTCTCTATCACGCCTGGCTTAATCATGCCTGGCCAAATCATGCCTGGCTTAATCATGCCTGGCTTAATCATGCCTGGCCAAATCATGCCTGGCAGAATCATGCCTTTTTGAATCATGCCTGGCTTAATCATGCCTGGCCAGATCATGCCTGGCTGAATCATGCCTTTTTTAATCATGCCTGGCTTAATCATGCCTGGCCAAATCATGCCTGGCTGAATCATGCCTTTTTGAATCATGCCTGTCTGAATCATGCCAGGGTGAATCATGCCCGGCTGAATCATGCCTGGCTGAGTCATGCCTGCTTGAATCATACCCGGCTGAATTATGCCTGCCAGAATCATGCGTGCCCGAATCATGCCTGCCTGAATCATGCCTGCCAGAATAATGCCTGCCAGAATCATGCCTGGCTGAAACATAGCTGGTTGAATCGTGCCTGACTGAATCATGCGTGCCTTAGTCATGCTTGCCTGAATCATGCCTTGCTGAAACATGGCTGGTTGAATCATGGCTGGTTGAATCATACCTGGCTGAATCATGCCTGGCTGAATCATGCCTGGCTGAATCATGCCTGGATGAATCTTGCCTAGCTGAATCATGCCTGGCTGAATCATGCCTGGCTGAATCATGCCTTG